GAGGGAAATAAAAAGGTGACTCTAGGGGTTGGAAAAAATTTGAAATTTTTTCTTTGGCCTCGCTCCGCTCGGCAGACATCTTTAAATAACACATAGAAGGGATGCGAGAACAAAATGCTCCATTTTTGGGAATTTTTTTCCTTCTTTCCCATGTACGTATGTATTTAGAAGCTCAGTCTGCTTTCTTGAATGAGAGGTGACTCTAAGGGTTAGAAAAAGTAGAAAATATTTTTTTGGCCGAGCGAAGCAAAAGAAGATGGAAAGGGTTGTGAGTACAAAATGCTATCCCCGAGAATATCAATTTTACAGCCTATAATTTGAGGAAAATTCTTGAATTTCACATCAGTTTGTCCATAATAATTCATGGAATTAAAAAATAATACAAAATATTAATTCAAAGTTAGTGATGGGTAACCCAGTGCAAATAAAATACAATATTTTTGCAGCATATGAGAGGGGAATTTGATTTTTTTTTGGGGGGGGGGGGTGTCTGCGTTTTTGAACATTAAAATTTTTCCATTGATCTATATCTTGGCCCCTCCTGGCCCACCCGAAAAAAAAGCTAGTTCCGCCACTGAAGAGTAGAATGATTTTCTCTCCAGTATTCTGAGCTGGTTATTTTCACTAAGAAGAAAAAAAATTGAAGCCATCATAAGTCACACAGGCATTGCAATCAAAGAATAGGTAAATTTTTTATCTACAAAACTCAACGATCTTTGCTTAGTCTGAGGAATTATTGGTAGATCTAATAAACCTGTGGTCAATAATTTTTTGCAAAAATTAACCATTGCAAAATCTGTAAGTGCGTATTTCAAATTTTTCAAAAGCATTTCGCCAATAGAATATTATGAATGTCTCAGTTTTTGAATCATTAATATCCATTTTGAGTGCCACTAGTTTTCTATAAATTGCAAATCAAAGAATTTTCTATTCATTTTATGCATCCAATTTGTTAAAATCATATCAGAAATTCCAAGTTCGACAAACTAAATCAAGGACAAATTTGTTATACTTACTAGTTTATTCTGAAAATACATTATAAATTTTGTCTGCAAGGATTTCTCGATCTTGCACCATGATTGAGATGCAGTTAATGGAACAAACCGCATTATTCTTCTGACCAAATCGATTTATTTCTCATGAAATTGGAAGGAAAGAAACACAAAATACCCAGTTAATTCAAATTTTATGTTAACATCAATTATTTGTGAAAATTTCGGACTTGATTTTTATTCAAGAAAAACTACATTTGAATTAACCCATAACAAGGGTAAAATTTAGTTATATAATATTCTATTTTGTATTTTTAATTATTATTTTATTCATTTATTTTAATTTATTTAATTTTCTTCTTAGTTTTATTTTATTTTCATGAATTTTTATTACTGAGTTTAAGCTTTTTCTTCAGTCTTTATCGATTGGATAATGTTTTTATAAAAGTTCATTTATATTGATCGTCTTAGTAATGGAAATGGACATTTTTACACATGCATTGGCAGAAAATCAAAATATATTTTTCGTTTTCAAATTACATTAATTCGTTTGAATAATTTGAAAACTGATTGATAATATCATTTTACGGAGAAAAAAAAATCATGAAAATAAGAGCAGGCATTGAAAGTTTCTAGATGGCAAACTTATTTTTTTTCATCATTTTTATTTGCTATTTAGCCTAAGTTGATTCTTATAAGATACCTACCCACTAAAGATAACAGTGGCACTTGAAATCTTTTAGTTTCATCGTTACTGCCTTAGCCAGCACGTCTTACTATGAGAAAAAAATTGTGAACATGTTTGCTTTCATGTTTTCATTGATGTTCAGAAACATCAGTTTTCCTGCATTTTATTTGAAAATTTAGAAAAATTCTGGATTAGTTATTATATAGAAGAGAATTCGTGAGATTTTCAATCATAATCTTTCCTGGCTTGATATAACAATACATCTAGCTGCATTAGTTTCTTAGGCTCATTGAAAATTTTCAAAAAAAAAAAAAAAAGCTCTTTAATCTTTTATAATATTTTCTACCAAAAATGATAATAAATTCATCAAGAATCTCCCTCGTGTTGATTGTAATTTGGAAAAAATCTGACATGATAAAATTTTACAAATCGCTATTGTATGTGTAATTAGAGTGATAAGATTTTCATATTCTGAGAATTGGGCTTCAGTATGAGTTTTTATTGCAATAATAAAAATAAAAAAATTACCAAAATATGTTTTTTTTTAAAATAGTACCACCAAATCTTCTTAATATTCTACTTCCTGACATGAAAACGGTTTAAATTATTTTTATCTACACCAATTACACGAAAATTGTTAATTTTTTTGCTCCTGTGAATATTCCGCTCGTTTCATCTTTTCCAACAATTGTTGTTAATATAATCGAAATGAGCATCATAATGATTATTCATTTTGGTTCATTTAACGACCTAATTTTTTGTTTATTAACAAAGGTTTTTCTTTTTTGATTAGATTACCAATGTGAGTTTTTCGTAAAACGAGCACCAAATAATTAAAGTAGCTGATTGGTTTTTAGATGGTTGTTTCAAGGTTTTGTTCGAATAATATTTAATTTGAAAAATATGTTTTGCCCTCCCAACAGTAAGTAAAAAATTTATTTTTCGTGTTTCATTTTTAAAGAGTCATATTTTTATTAATTTTCGGGGCATTGGAAAATATGTTCGAGTTGACATTTCAGGAAGCACTTCGAGTGAGATAGTGATGGGGAGGGAGGGTAAGAGGAATTAATTTCGTTTCATTTTTTAAATTCACTCAACAACTGCTTTTCAATTATAATATCAACAAAGTGAGTAAGAACTAAAGCTTGGACTCCATGTGTGCGGCGGTGCTGCGTTGTTCGTATCGTAACGCAGGTTAATCCATCTCCATTGTGTGCGTCGACGAACGTGAAGAAATGTTGGAATATGTGGGAAGAGGAACACACTGATAACATCCGAAAACCCGATTGGAGGATTTCCCCTCGAATCTGTCCGAGTAGCCACGATTCTACTCGAAGCAGCTGCGGCATGCGTTCGGCTGCGTCGAAATCAAAAATTTTTAAATTCAACGCAGCCGAACGCAGCCTTCCGCCCTCCTTCTGCGGCAAGGTGCGTTCGGACCTCTGATTGGTCAACGCACCTTGCCGCAGAAGACGACGCAGCTCTGCCGCATACATGGAGTCTTAGCTTAAGACGGTATCTTACGACATTAAATGAAGAACAAATTTAAAAAAAAAGCATAAATTTTAATAAAATGGAATAAATTTTTATTTTGAATGATCAAAAAAATAGGAGAATTAGAAAAGTAAATCATCTGGTTTTCGCGCAGAAAACTTCGA